GGTGGTAAATAACTCTAAAACCCTAGTGGAGATGCTCCAGTGGCCTAATGAGATTCAACTTGCAGCTCATTTCCTCCAGAGTAAAATATGGTACACGCAGGACCTGAATTCTCCACTGAGAAGGTTCTACTTGTTTTGTGGGGGCAGGAATCCATTTAAACTGGTGGCTTTCAAAATATGGGTTCTCAACTACCAGAATTGACATCAAAAAGAGGCTTGGCTGTCTCTGGCCTGGAACTGTGCATGGGAAGCTAAAGGGATTGAGTTGCTATTGCGGTTCTGTGTGTTTGATAGGGTCAATATCAGGTATTGTGCTTAGTGACATCTGTATTAGCTGGCTTTCTGTTGCTGTGATAAAACATTCCAACCAAAAGCACCTTGGGGAGGAAAGACTTTATTTCATCTTATACTTTCAGGTCATGGTTTATCATTGAGAGCAGCCAAGACAGGAACTTAAAGCAGGAGCTTAAAGTAGAAACTGAAGCATAGCAAAATGGTGAAGTATTGCTTTCTGGCTTGCTTTCAGGCTCATGGTTGGCCACTTTTCTTGTGTAGCCCAGGCCCACCTACCTAGGAATAGTACTGTCTCCAGTGGGCTGGGCCCTCCTATACCAATCCACAATCAAGAAAATGGCCACAGACATGCCCAGTGGCCAGTATGATAGAGGCAAGTCTTAAACTGAAGTTCTCTCTTCCCAGTTATGTCAAGCTCATAACCAAGATTAGCCATCTCAAAATCCACCATGTTTTATAAGATCTGGTCTTTCAATGGGACTGGGGGCTTGCGAAGGCCTACGAAGGCTAACTAGTGAGTCCCAGGGATCTGCTTGTCTCTCTCTCCTCTGTGGAGGCATGACAAGTGGGTGCTAACATGTCTGGCTTTTTAATGTCTATTCTGGGGATCAAACTCTAATCCTTTACCTGCTGAGCCATCTATGCAGCTCCCAACCTCAGTTCTTACATACACTCTTGGTGATGCAGACCAAAGCAGCAGTGTGAGAACCACAGCTTTTGCAAAGCTTCTAGAGCTTACAGATGTGTGTGTGTGTGTGTGTGTGTGTGTGTGTGTGTGTGTGCATGTGTGTGTGATCTAGCTTCTGGCGAAGAGAACATGAGCAAAGAGGGAGAGCGAGTAAAGAAAGAGGCTAGAAGGAAAATCATAAAGAGACCGAGAGCTCTGCGTTCCCTGAATGCTCTCATAACATGAGAAGGCTGGAGGAAAACAGAGGAGCAGTCCAGGAAAGCCCTAATAATTCCCAGAAGATTCTACAAGAAAAGTGTCCTGAGGGTACTTAGCAAATATACACTGTACTGATAGAGACTGAGCCTCAGCTGCCCAAACTGAGTCTAGGAATGTAGACGTGCTATGGAGCCTGAGCAGTGGGGAAAAGCCAAGAGTTCTCCCACGGGACATAGGCAGCGTCTCCTTCTCCCCTATTCTGAGAAACAGCTTAACTTAGGGGGAAGAGGGCAGCTTCTCAAGAGGACCCTGCGTTCTTATCATATAGATTAAAGCAAGCCACAAACTCTTTCAGCCTCGGTCTCCTGGTCTACACGAACAGGATATTTGGGTCTTGTGGATGGGTTTGCTGACCCCTGAATGCCACACATCTCCTAATGTGGGGCGTATGGTAGAAGCTGAATGTATCTTAAAGAAAAGAGGATCGGTACTGAGAAGTTTGTCTGAGCTAAGGTTTTGACCGTTTCCAGCGCAATGCCTGTCATGAGGATGTTATAGGAGCAGTGTGTATGATATGACAAGGAGGAGGGAAGATTTGATGAGCAGGAACAGATTCCAACTCATCTCCCAAACACGTCTGCCGGATCTACAGCCTTACTGAAACAAGGCCTGCCCTTCCCAGTTCCCTTATCTTTAGTTCAAAGCAAACCAGAGCCTCTTGAACAATATGAAGCAATACACAGGCAACAAGATAGCTCCTAAACAGCATGCATTCCTTCCTCAGAGTTCTGGAGGCGTGAAGTCCAAGGTCCGGGTTCTCAGAGATTAGCCATCCAGTGAAGTCCCACATTTGCTTCCTAGATGGCACTGGGTGCTCACAGGGTGTGATGAAAGCAGGCAGCCCTGTCGGTGTTCTCTGTAGGAGACTGTACTCTCTGGAGGAGCCAGCCATGATAAGCTAAATATGAACAGATGACCCAAAGGGAGTTCTTTACTTCTAACCATTATCACCTGCCAGTGTAGGACTCAGCCATCGATAAATTTAATAGAGGCCTGAGTCTCAGTAGTTTACCCTGAAGCAATACCTGGTTGCAGAAAGGACCATAAACTAAGATTACCTGAGCACCACCCTAGAACAGACCATCCAAAGGAAATGCCTAACGCTCCAAGCGCTGTAGATAGGATAACCTGTCAGCACACACTCACCAGGACACTTCTAGACAAATGCTAGCCAATCAGGGGTCTTGAACCCCTCATCCCCACTTCTACTACTATAAAAACCCAACTCTAACTGTGCTCGGGGCTTTCCGATTATTCCAATATGTTGAGCACACGGAGAGACCAAGTTTGCAAGCTTGCATAAAATAAAGGCTCTTTGCTTTTACATATGGGACTCGGTCTTCTTGTTGGTTTGGGGGACTTTGCAGATTTGGGCATAACATTCTCATGATCTAACACTTCCCAAAGACCCTGACTCTGCTTCATTCTACGACACTATTTCAGTGTATGCATTTATACAGCACAGTTTCACAGTGGGGCAAGAGTTAGGCAAAGACTGAGGTAAGGAGATTTGTGGAGAAAGAGGCAGAAACGAGGGAGGAATTTTGCAGGGTTTGGACAGCACAGACAACATGGAAAACCAAACACGACTTGCGGTATGATTCAACTAATTGTTCCCTGTGACTAAGCTCTTACTCACCAGGGCTTCCGAGCCAGTGGGTGTAGAGCAGAATTAACTGCAGGGGCAGGAGCAGGCTTTGCAGTCCCTTTGCTACAAAAGGCAAAGAGCGACACATTTGGGCTCCATGGTAGAGGAATGGTGGTTTTTAGGGCTTTTGTTTGACTGACCAATCAGCAAACCTCCAGCGGGGGGGGGGGGAGGGTTCTGGGTATGTTCCCCATTCCCTCTTGCTCCCTGATGTTGTATCTACTGAGCACAGCCTGTTCAGATGACAGAGCTTCTAATTTCCAGCTAAGAAAAGAACTATAGAGTCCAGGCTGGAGGCCTGAACAGCTTCCCTGTCAAGAGGCACTACCAGTCCCTGTCAGTGACTATTGGCAAAGACCTAGAGCAAGAGTTTAAACAAAATGCACTGAGTCATACACAGTCTATTAGACAAGATCAGAAACAGTCCAGTACCAAACACCCCAAGTTGTAGGTTGAAGAGTGGGCTTTATCTGAAAGGCAGACCCTTTTCAGATTCCTGGAATCAGTGGGCTTGTCGATGGAAAGAAGCAGAGGCGCTCTTATGATGGCACTGGAAGATATACGTGGCTATAAGTCCAAAACAGGTATTCTAAGCCATACAGGAGCAGGGGGAGAGGAGGAGAAGTGGAAGGATTGGTAAACAACAGCAGTGGAGGGAATTATCTAAGGTATAAGCTGCCTCGGTCCTGCAGTCATAGGATCTGAGTCACTGTACGTTGGTGATGGGGTCAAGTTGGGAGTGACCAATAAGCCAAAGGAAATTCTCAAAGAGGATTTATGTTGAGAAGAAAAAAAGGCTGTTTTCAGACATTTGTTTTCATGCTACCATTTACCTGTGCAAACTCTAACCCTATTCTCTGAAATTTTGGAGCAAAGATCCGCTTCCATAATTTCTTTCTTAAAGAATTTAGCAAGATAGAGATGGGCACAGTAACTAGATAGGTACTAAGTGCCCTCCCTGCTCCTTTCCCTTATAGTCCCAGTACTCTGTATGGGACTGAGAGATAGTAAAATGCCTGACACCCCAGCAAACCTGAGTTTGATCCAAAAAGCAAGCCTATAACCCAAGCATTTGGAGACATAGAGATGGGTGGATCCCTGGGTTTTAATGGCTGTCCTACTTAACATAATCAGTGAGCCCCAGGTTCTAGGAGAGAACCTGTCTCAAAAAAAATATGATTGAGAGACAGTAAGATGGCTCATTCAGGTAAAAATGCTTTCTGCCAATCCTAACAACCAAAGCTTCATCCTCAGGACACACAAAGTGGAAGGAAAGAGCCAGCTTCTGAAAGTCATGCTCTGACCTCCACAAATATACTGAGGTAAATAGGTACCACACACACACACACACACACACACACACACACACACAGGATTGCTGTGGACTATTATTTTAAGATGTGTTACATTTGTTTATGCTGTGGAACATTAGTTTAATGATGCAAAGATGTATTGCATTCTTCAATGGTGCATTTGTTTACCTCTGTGAAGCTGTGTTATTGTGCCTGTCTAAAGCAGGCAAAGATTGGTCTAATAAAGAGCTGAATGGCCAATAGCAACGCAGGAAAAATGATAGCTGGGGTTGGCAGGAAGAATAAATAGGAGAAAAAGAGGGATAGGGAAGCAAAAAATGATCTAGCAGTCAGAGAAGGAGGAGGGCTCCAGTGGCCAGCCACCCAGCACCTACACAGCAAGCCATGGAGTGAGAAGTAAAGAAAGGTATATAGGATAAAGATAAAACCCAGAGGCAAAAGGTAGATGGGATAATTTAAGTTAAGAAGAGCTGGCTAGAAATAAGCCAAGCTAGGACCGGGCATTCATAAGCAAGAATAGGACTAGGTGTGATTTATTTGGGAGCTGGGTAGCAGACCCCCTAAAAGAACAAAAGAGCTAAAGAGTAAAAATAACCAGATACACAGAATAGATGATAGATAGACTGACAGACAGACAGACAGGCAGGCAGACAGACAGACAGACAGACAGATAGATAGATAGAGAGATGAAGAAAAGAAAAATTCAAAACCACAAAACACTGACCTTGGCCATCTTGATCTCTTCCAACTTAGCTTTTGTGTACTGACAGCAGGAGGAGAATTTGGCCAAGGAAAGGTTTCTGTGCTATTAACCAGTCAATGAAATTCTCTAAATCTCACCTCTACTATAACCAACTCTTGGCTCACAGGAAACCTACTAGCTCCAAGAGAGCAGCTTCTTCAGTTAGACCTTTTGAAGGCCTGAAAATACCAATTTTTAAGTCAGCCAGCAACACCAGGTAGATATTTTAGCTACCACTTTATTTTCATCCAGGCTAAGGGACAGTATGGAAAAGGTCCTCTTCTCAGTACCTCAGTGAGAAACTGTGGCAGGCTCTTTCTGCTACTGTTTGTGAAGTTAGCCTGTCAGTCATTGTGATTGAAACGTAACCCCAGTGGCTTCCACAAGTGCAATAAAATGCTTTGCAAAAGACTGCGGAATCGTGGGATGTAATAAAGTCTGCTCGGCTTCATTTCCAATGCTGCAGAGTCCAGAAGAGCGAGGCCCATTTCCTTATGCCTTGGGATTTGTTTGAGTTACTTTCATGCCTGGAAATGACAGAACATAAAAACAGACATTTAGTTAGAACTGGTAGCGTTTCTTTTGAGACACAGCAATAAACAGAATATAAGTTTGTTTACTGTTAATCTGTTAGATTGCCGTTAACATTTTATAGGAAATGATATTGATGTGTGGGTAAGCGATGGGAAATAAATGATTTCAGACCTTTCGATGCCTACGCTTATCCTCTGGGTCCATGTGTTTTCTTTCTTTGCCCTTTGTCCATCACTAAAGGTCAGATAAATGAACTCTTAAGTTTCCACATTATACCAATTTGAAGAGAAAACCAATTCAGATGGTAGGTACTACATGAAAAGGGCATGCCAAACACTACCATTCTCCAAACTCTCTGCTGAGCTTAATAACACAGATTTCTGGACTCTGTCCCCCATATTCTGATTCCTCAGATCTGTAGAAAGGCCAGGAATCTGTTTCAAAGCAAGCTTTCCATGCGAAGGTGAAGGGTTTGGCACCTGAATTTGGGAAACTCTTAAGGCCCTGAGCAGCTGGCTGATTCAGCTTTTCGTAATGGCCAAGGTATCTTAAGGATATGTGTCAGGCCTCAAACATTTCTCCTCACAAGATTAAATAATAACTTCTCACCACTGTCTTATTTTATCTAGCAAGAATATAAGAAATTCTCGATGGCATAGTAGGGTAGTTTAGATCGAAATCCAGGTGACCATGGAGTTACATTACACAGCTCGGCCTCTGCCTTATTTGTTGTTGCCTTAACCCATCTAAACTTCAATACCTGGCCTCAGTATGATGGGTATGACCAGCAACAGGGATGGCAGGGCCTGGGAGCTGGGAGCAGAGTAACAACTGGAAGAAAAGCAAAATAGGAAGGGAAAGAGTGGAAGCCTTCATGAGTTTTATTTCTTAAAATTTGGAAAAGACTAGGGGAGGAGGTGCTAGGAAAATTGGGTAGCCACCATGGATGTGATAAATGAAGAGATTTTGAGAAATATGGTTATGGATCACAGACTTCTCAAGTATTTTCTCTTTCCAAAACCTTGTTTTGATTTACATATGTTACGTGTCTGTGCAATTGCATTTTGCACTGCATGCAGGCTCCTGTGGAGGCCAGAAGAGCACACTGGATCCTGTGAAGCTGGAGTTCTAGGCAGTGATGAGTGGCCTATGTGGGTGCTGGGAACTGAAGTGAGGTCCTCTGGAAGAGCAGCAAGGGCTCATATCTTCTGAGCCATGGCTGCAGCTCCTCCTTCAATGTTTTAAAGAGATTCCAGAGGAGAATTAAGCTGCCTTTCATATCCGGTTTGCCATCTGTGGATTCTAGTGCAGCACAAAAGATGCTGGGTGCGAAGAGCGAGCTCCCTGTGTTTATTTCAAGGGTTCTGTTTAAGGCTGTCTTGGTTTTAGATCCATCCAAACTCACGTTGGTGAAGACAACATCATTAGTCTTTGGTCTATAGAGGAGAATTTTCATGAGTCTAGAAACCTATTTCCTGCAAGTTGGTAGTAATGTCAGAGAGCACAGGGTGAGGCAGCTCAGTATAATGACATGTAGTCCCTTTGGGATCCGGACACAGAGGCTAAGTCATTCCTCACCTGGACCACTGTGCACCATAAAGGTGGGAAGGCCAGGTATTAAATCGGCCATTTTGCCCCTGGAGAAGGGTCCTGCCTTATTCCCACAAGATTCTGAGACCATTTGTGGGTGTTCCCAGCACTGCTTGCCTTGTCTGATGATGTGGGTCAACTTCTGAACATTCATCACAGACTTCGTCCTTGAACAATTATTAACTCTGAGTCAGAGGCACCTGTGCAGGCCTGAAAATGGATGTGGCCTCTCGTTTCTTCTGCCTTGCCTGTCTAGGGCAGATTTATGTCCTGGGAGTTTCTATCAGTTTTATTTTTGAACATTGTAGCCCATGTTACAGCCACCACTTCCCCTTCTCAATCCAGCTCTGTGTTCTCTGAGTCTCCTATAACCCTCTCTCCACAGGAGGCTCTCTCAGACTGCTAGCACTGCTTCTAGAACTTATCCTTCACACAGCCTTAGATTCTACACATCCTTCTCGCTTCTCAAGGCTCTGTCTGTGGTAGTTTCATTTATATAACTTGTCTGGAGCCTCGTGGAAAGCAGTGTCTACCTTCCTTACCCAAAACATTGGGAAGAAAACTTTGCTTTTCTTCCAGTTGTTACTCTGCTCCCACCTCCCAGGCCCTGCCATCCCTGTTGCTGGTCATACCCATCATACTGAGGCCAGGTATTGAAGTTTAGATGGGTTAAGGCTACAACAAATAAGGCAGAGGCCGAGCTGTGTAACGTAACTCCATGGTCACCTGGATTTTGATCTAAACTACCCTACTATGCCATCGAGAATTTCTTATATTCTTGCTAGATAAAATAAGACATTGGTGAGAAAAAAATGTGTCCAAAGTTCTGTTGTGTCTGTGTAGTGAGAGGTGAGGTGAATTGAGTACATTAGGGGCTGCAGGGTCTACATAAAGCACCCACAAATGTGCCTAGGGTAGTGCAATGCTTCCCCTTTGTGGGTCTCCCTCTCTTGTTTGAATGATTATTTCTGCCATCTTTGTAGCCAGTAAAGACTCAGCACTTGGCTAAGCAGTGGCAACTGTGCCTTTACAGTACAGAGTGCAGGTGGTGACATGTTCCACTCTCCATTTTAGTGGACCTAAAACAGTGTGTCCACTTTCAGATCCTCAGTTTCCTTCCATGTCACCTCCACCATCGATGGTAAAACCTTTCAATTATCCAGAGATGTTGATCAAAGGATTTGCTGACGAGGGAACAAGTCTCTCAGGAGAGTGTGAGAAAATAAATGCTTCGATCCCTGACATGTTTCTAGACCATTTGGAAAAATACTTTATGCAGAGTGAGGCCAGGGCACCAATCGCAAGGAGTCAGATGAGCTGGTTATGCCCATGGGTTTCTGCAGGCAGAGAGCTGAGGGGCCATGAATGCCCCAATTTTTCAGTTATGTCTAAGTTCTAAATAGATATAGGGGAAAATGTGCTTTATAAACCAGGTGGTGGTGGTAATCCTAGCACTAGGGAGGCAGAGGCAGGCAGATCTCTATGAGTTTGAGCCCAGCCTGGTCTACAGAGCAATTTCCAGGATAGCTAGAAGTACATACAGAGAAACCCCATCTTAGAAAAAAAAAAGAATAATTTTGATAAATGACGGGCATTATATTGCCTGATGCACATTCTTCAGTCATGAACGACAACAGGAGGAATTTTCCTTTGCTCTCATAGTATGAGAGATACTTGCAGAAGAAAGCTTTGGATTCTGAAGGAAAATTAAAATGCCTTATGGAAGATCATCATCAAAGTTTTTGAGAAAGATTATAGAAGCCTGAAACCCACAGAGAGGTCTTTGAAATTTCCCTGTGTTCTGTGTATGATTTGATGGGTACAGGTAAAATCACAGGTGTCACTGAGCTGCTCCTCTGTGAGCCTGAACTGAACCCTGCTGCCTTCTTGAATGTGCAGCCACCATCATGTTGATCAGCTTTCCATTACTCTGATGGATTCCCAAGATAAAGAATGTATAAAGTAGAAAGATTGACTCGGGCTTAAAATTTCGGGGAGTTTGTCTGTGATCAGTCAGGCCTGCTGCTTTGGTCCATGACAGTGAGACCACTGGTAAGCTGGAAGCAAAAAAAAAAAAAAAAAAGACAAGAGGACATAGTCTCCTGTAAGCCCAATGACCACTCATTTGGCCTCACCTATGAGGTTCCATCACTTCCATATAACACTAGTTTGGGGATCAAGCCTCTAGCCACTAGGCCTTTAGGGGATATTGTAGATTCTATGGTATTTTCATCAATCTCTAAAAAACCTTTCTCCATGGCCTCTGAAGTACATCGATGGCAGTGTTTTTGTACCTGATGTATCAAGGAGGTTAGTCTCTCCTATTCCAACTCCACTATGCCTGGTCCAGGGGAAGTCCTCTTCTACACTGAAGCCGAAATGACAAATTGCTGTCTCTCTCCTGTGGGTGAACCTGGTGGAAGCTGTCCACAGGCAAACTACCCTGACGGTGTATAAAGGGAAGGCTTGGACTACAGAGCTCTGCTGCCCTTCTCTCTCTTTATGGGTGCGGTCCCACACCTGATTGTCATTGGAATTACCTATGGAGATGGAAACACGCCTTGCTGTGCCTCTTGTGACTGATCCAGAGTATGCAGAAACTGTGGAAGGGAATCACTATACTTGAGAGCGGCAGCATCCTCACCTCTCTCCATTCTTCACCGGGGCTTCCACCCTAAAATGTGTTCTTGGTGCAGTGTGGTTTTACTGCTGAGAAACAGGGTAGATAAAGGGTATTTATTTTCCTCACTCATGTGATTGGGGCCATTACTGCCTTTGCAGTAAAGATCACTTGACAGGTGATCCTTGCCAATGAGGATCAGTGACATGGTCTGTCTGTCTTTCTTCCCAGGACTAGACAAAAATGGTTTGTTATCTGTGTATGTGTGTGTGGGGGGGGTGTGCACACGCATGAGTGTACAAACAGAAAACAGAGGTCAGTGTTAAATACTTTCCTTAATCACATTCCTTCCATCTTATTTTTGAGGTTGTATCACTCACTGAAACTGGACCTCAGCAATCCCTTTAATTCTGACTGTCCAAGGAGCCATCCAGGCGGCCCCAGATCTGCTTCTCCCATCTCTATATCCCTGTGCTGAGATTATAGGTGCATGTCACTACACCCAGATTTCTAGAGTACTGGGGATCCGAACTTGCATGGCAAGTACTGACTGAGCCATCTCCTGAGACCCAGAAATAGTTTTAAAATTAGGTTACCACATTTAGCAATAACACGGCTCTGAGAGGCTCGCACAAAAACCTCTTTAGCCAGTGTCTTCTCCTAAAACCTTAGCCCCAAGCAGGCTAGTGAGACAACAGAGCAGCCACAGAAAGGGTTCCGACTCACACCAAAGCAAGTGAGCAATTTTCTAAGGGCAGAGCCCCTGACCTCTCTTCTTTAGCT